CATTATTATTATTATTATTATTAATATTTTCACTTTTAATTGAGATGCGTAGTAATTCAATAAAAAAAATACCTGTCAGACATTAACGATATTCATTCATTCTTTTTCTTTTTTTTTTAATTTTTCGGATAAATCGATTGGGATCGTGTTACGGTTTTCGTTGCTTCCACGACGATCCAAATTATTTCCGGTTTCGTTTCCCTCGAATCGTGTGCGAATCGAAATAATTTTTTTTTTTTTTTTTTTGTTATTGAAAATTCTTGACCGTGAGCGAAATTTTTTATAAATAATTTTTCTTTGACAATTTTTTTTTCCTTTTATATTTATCCTTTAATTTCCTTTGAGACCCTTTGAAATTGAAAAAATTTTGAGAAAGGCCCTTTTTTCGTAATTTTAATTTTTTTTTTTTAATTTTCTATTACCACTTTTTTTTGTAAAATGTAAGGTTCTATACTTATCCTCTTTTTTTTGAAGAAAAGAATTCGGAAAAAAAAACCGTTATCGTGCCTACAGCATTCAGTTTTAAATTATTATTATTATTATTATACGGTTCCCAACGGTAAAATCAAAGGAAATCCTGTTCCCGGTTGATAAAAGATTAAAGGAGGTGAGAGACAGATAGAGAGAGAGAGAGAAACAGGAGAGAACGCGGGTAGGAGGAAAGTTTTAAGAAAGATTTTTTTTTTGGCATTTATAATAGCAAAAATTTATAGCGGTTACGTGCTATAAAATACTACAAACAAAAGTGTCAATCAATGTTTTTAATTATTATTATTATTATTATCATTATTATTCAGGATGTTTTAATAAGTTTAAACTTTTAACTTTTGCAAATATAAATTATAATTTATTTTTGACAAGCGATTAACTCCCGTGACACATTTTCACTCACTAATCTCTCTCTCTCTCTCTCTCTTAATCTATCTCTTCTCTCCTTCTCTCTCTCTCTTTGTCTTAATCTATCTCTTCTGTCTCTCTCTCTCTCTTTCTTTCTCTTTCTCTTAATGTATCTGTTTTTTCTCTCTCTCTCTTTTTAAACCGTTGCAAAAATTCAACAAAGTGCGACGATGCGAACGTTATTAAAACGTTTTCTTTCTCATTCTATTTCCACGTCGAAAATCCCATAAGAGAAAGATTAATAAATGATTTTTTTTTTTTTTTGTTATTAATCAAATATTATCAGTCCGGAAAAAATTAATAAAAGTGAAAGAAAAAATAATTAATAAGAAATTAATTAAAAATTGTTCGTTTATATTAAATCCAATAATAACACTCGACTCGTTCTAATTTTAATACCGACTATAATTTACATTTAATTATTATTATTATTATCATTATCATTATTATCATTATTTTTTCCATTGAGTTATTATATAATTTATGCGTTTGCCATTTTTTTTTTTTTTTGCGTTTCCTTTTAACTTTGCTATAAAAAGTTAACCGTTAGAATAAATTTTTTTTTTACGCGGTAAAATATAAATATTGTTAAGTAATAAATATTAATTGTTACGTGACCCCACCGCACCTCTTTAAAAAAAAAGGGGGGGGGGAAGGCGGTTTAAACCTTACAAAAACATAAAAAAGTCGCACGCGACTTACGTTTTACTATAAAAATAACATTTCAATTAATGAGTAGTTTCCCCCCCCCCTGTGCATTGTTTTTACGAATTCTTTTATATTATTATTATTATTATTATTATTATTATTATTATTATTATTATTACGACTTATTTTCTTTTTGACTTCCAGCAGAGGAAATAAGTTAAAAAAAAAATTTTTTTTTTACTTTCTCGATAATGGGTTTGCCATCGACTCTCATTTTCCATTTGATAGGTAAAAGACATTTAAATAATAATAATGATATTTGTTGTTTTAAAAGGGTGTCACTATTATTATTATTATCTACAGATTCTGGAAAATTTCACGTGGGAATTAAAATGGAAAATGTTTGGTGTTTGTCTTTTCTTTTGTCCAGGGAATAGGTTGTAAAGAAAGGAACGCCCTCATACAAATTGATTTTTACACAGTAATAATAATAATTATTATAATACAATCGGAACTGAACGGAAATAATATAAAGAATGCAATTGGAACATTAGCAGTTCCTGTTATAGAATATAGTCTCGGTCTTGTAGATTGAACGAAAGAGAAATTTTGTACTTAGATCAAAGAACAAAAAAGATACAATTTATGGTGCGTTGTATTGAAAAGCTGATGCAGATAGATTGTACGTCAGTAGGAAAGATGGGGGAAGAGAATTACGCCATTACGCCAAATAGAAACGGCGGGATGGGTAAATACATGGAATCCCTCCAACTGCACACCATCTTAACCCAAAGAGAGATATATGAGGACAAGAGGAATTCTCAAAAAAGCAAGGCAAATAGTAGAAGTAAACAAAGATAACGAATTGGAGGATAGGCAGCTTGCTACTTATGATAGCAAAGCCCAATTCCAAAAAAAAAGTTAAGAGGGCGTGGGAACAGAAAAAAGCTGTTGGGACAATATTTGAAAAAATTGAATGCTTCAAACATTACAAGAAAAGCACGCACAACTGGTTAAGGCGTGGTAAGTTATAGGTTGAAACAGAAGCGTTCATCAGTACAGCTCAGGACCAAGCCACGGGAAAACTTACAGCTACGTGACGGAAGGTTCGCTAAGACAATAAGTCCCGAATTTGCCAATCACAGTCGGAAACCATTGACCATTTAATTTCCGGTTGTTCGACATTGGCAAAACATGAATGTCTAGAGAGACACAGTAAAATTTGTCAATATCTCCATTGGAATATATGCCGAGAATATGGAATGGATGGGCTAGCCAAGGAGTGGCACAACCACATTCCGACAGTAGGTCCATGCACAGTTCTGTATGATCAACAAATCCACACTGACAACTGTGTGCCAGCCAACAAACCGGATATCATACTCAGGCATAATGCGAAAAAATGGTGTAAGTTAATTGAGGTATCCGTGCCGGCAGAAAAAAACACCAGACAGCCAAAGAAGCGGACAGAAGGCTGAACTACCCAGGTTGTGAGTTGTGGGGACAGAAACGATTCCGGTCATCGTGGGAGCAGCACGGGGAGCCATGCCACATTCAGTAAGAGGAAATTTGAAAACTTTAAAAGAAGAAACCATCCAGGAAATCGCACTATGTGGTACGACCCACATTCTCCAGAATTCTCCACATTCGAAGAGGAATCGTCGGGTAGAGACCTGGAATGAATGGTTAAACAAACAAATACACAAAACGTTGTCGTGTTTAAAAGTGAAAATAATAAAGTAAAATGTCATTTTAAAAAAAAATGTCGAAATAATGAAGAATATTAAGGTCTCCCCAAAAAAAAAAATTTCAAAATTTTTTATTTTATTTTTTTTTTTGCATTTGAGAAACTCTTTGGCGTGTTACATAAATACAATGAAAGTTTTTTTTTTTAATATGAATAAAAGTAATAAAATATAACAACAAACAACAAACAACAACAAAAACAATAGATAATGAAATTTGTTGAACTTGGATTTCATAATGGATTTCATTGCCGTTTTTTTTTTTTGGGGGAGTCATTAGTCATTAAGTAATGGAAATATATATTATGTTATTTTTGCGCCCTCATGTTCGTTTGTACGTTTGTTTGTTTGTTTTTATTCTCTACGAATCAAAAATTGTTTGTCTTCTTTTACCTACGGATATAAACTCCGTTAATCATGCAATCATAACGAAAGAATTGTCAAAAAAAAAAAAAAGAAACTAGTTCGTAACAAATTAATAAATAACCGTGACAGAAATGAGAATTTTGTTTGTTTGTTTGTTGTTTGTTTTCGTCGTCGAATCAGATTTAAAATAAATAAATAACTTTTTTTTTTTTTGATATTTTCCAAAAATCGTTACGTAACTTTTTTTTTGTTAATATTATTTAATTGTTTGTAATTTAATATTTTAAACTTTTTCATAACTCGCGTTATTAAATAATCATAACAATCAATCAATCAATCATTCAGTTAGATTGATTAAAATTAAATCTCGGATTAAAAAAAAAAAATTTCGCGTTTTTTAAATTCCCTTCCCCACTTTCGATCTTGATCTTTATTGTGGGGATCATCTTACAGACGACAACAACAACCAGAACAACCAGAACAACCTTAAACGACCTTGAATTTTTCTTTTTGTTTGTTCCAGACTTTTCGGTCAGTCGTTTGTTTTACATCCGCCGGATGTAACCGCCCACATAATTTTCGTCGATTTTTTTTCTTTCTTTCTTTGCGTTTGTTCTAAACCGCAAAATTTTTTTTTTTTCGTTTTGCGGTTTTTAATTGTTCGCCTAATTTATTATTATTATCATTATTATCATCATCATCATCATCATTAAAAAAATTTTTCGTCGCGTTTTTATGAAAATTTTTTTTTGTTTCAAAAACGATTCAAAGCGTACGCGATAAAAACAAAAGAAAAAAAAATTTTTTTTTTTTTTGTTAAAACGTTTTTACGTAATTGATAATTGCAAAAAAAGAAAAAGAGAGAGACAGAGAGAGAGAGAGATTGAGATAGAGAAAGAGAGAGAGAAAATATACATTCGAATTTAATTCGGCGCAAATCCCGTGAAAAATTTTTAATTATAGCAAATGAACAAAAGAAAAGGAAAAAAAAACCGTTTTTGTGTCGAAATCGTTTTTATTTAATTTTTCAAAAAAATAAACGTTTTAAGTTATATAAACGAATCGTTTTAAGAGTTTTTTAAAAGCAGACGACAAAATAAATAAATAAATAAATAAAGGAACGTCGAACGAAAGGGAAAATCTTAGTAAAAACATCATCATTTTATTATTATTATTATAATGCAAATTTCTACGATTAAAAATTTATTATGCACGATCATTATTATCTCTTATTTTTTTTTTTTTTAAAAATGGAGTCGTTAATTAAATTACAATAAAAATAAAATGCTTTCACCGTAATTTTATTAATTCGTTTTAATAATAATAATAATTTTTTTGTTTCAGGTATTTTTTCAGTACAGTTTTACAATTTCAATTACATAGACATTTATGCAGGATATCCGGTCAATACGATCCAAATGATTCGACAAAAAGTTTGCATAAGTGCGACATTTATAGAAAAATCCAAGCCGGAAACGTATTGAAGTAAATATTACTTTTATTAATTTATCATTCCCGCCTTCGAACGATTCTAACAACGGCAAAAAAACTATGACGATTTGGCAACGATGCAAAAACCGTTATTTAAAAAAATTAAGTTTATTTATTAGGCAATTTTCAAAAAAAAAATTAATTTTGCCTTTGTCGGAATTGTGAAAATGTTTCTCCCCCTTCTCTTCCTCCTCCTTCCCTCCGCTTCTACCTCTCCTTCCTTTCCCCCCGGGGAAAAAGGATTGCTCCCACCTTCCATTTTGTTTTTTTTTTAAAGAGTCAAAGGGTTAATTGAAAGGGTTACACGGCAAATGACCGACATTGAAAAAAATTTTTTTTTTCTCCGTTTTAATTAAACGATTTTCTCGTTGATGGGTTCCTTTACGTGGGTGCCTCCTTCCCCTCCTCCTTCCCCTTCTTGTCCCCCCGAAGTAATAATGATGATAACAATTACCGAATCGTGTGCGTGCGTGTTGTGCCGTGCCGTCGGTTATAGTATGGAGAAATGATTACCCTTCCCCTTCGCTCCCCGTAAGGTTTAACGAATTCAAACCTATTATTATTATTACACAGGGAGCTTATGAAATATGGTTCGTCGCTGTCGTGGAAAGAAGTTTTATACAGGTCGATAGGAGAAAATAAATTGGATGGCAGTGCACTACGCGATTTTTTCAGACCTTTGGAAGAATGGTTGAGAAATGAAAATTTAAGAAGGAACGAATATCCCGGTTGGATATACGGTAAGTGATAATACATATCGATCAATAACGGACGCCATCTTGAAATCGATTTAATAGTTTATTATTATTATGGTCACTCTTAAACACGACAAGGCTCTTATTTGTCGGGGTTTTTAAGCATTTATCCCAGGTTTTTACCCGATTCCTCAGGGACAAATACTCGAATTTCGGTGGTGCTATTTATTGAGTATTTTCCGAAGAATGTGTGCCGTCCCACATAGTGCGATTTCCTGGATGGTTTCTTCTTTTAGGTTCTTTAAAATCTTCTTTAAATTTCCTTTCATTGAATGTGGTGGCATGGCTCCCAGTGATGCTCCCACGATGACCAGAATCAATTCTGTCTTTATTCTCCCCACATCCTGGCTGTTTCAGCCTTTCGTCCGCTTCTTTGGTTGTCGGCTGATGTTTTTCTCCCCGTCTGTATTCGGATATACCCCTCCGAAGAGGGAGTGTGGGGCTCGGTATGGATTCGAAGAAAGCTAACCGGGAACCATACCCACTAAAACTCCTGAGCATGACGCAATAGCGTGGCTTAAATGAAGTGGGGGGGACGGTCGTTGGAGTAAAACCTACAATTCATTCAGTCCCCTCTCCGGGAAGCCAGAACGTTAACCGTTCCACACGTTTACACTGGTAGGAGATTCGCCCTAGTCTTCGTTCCGTCGTCACCTCGAAGACGAGAACGCATCTCCAGGACGATCGGCAAGCCCCTTTCGGAAATGCCCTCCGGTCCTTCTCACGGGGGGAAAGGGATGAGAAACTCGCCTGTTTCCTGAGAATGCGATCGGAACGAATGGGTGAGGGATATAGACTTACCGTCGTCACTCGAAAAGGGCAAAAAAGGGCAAAAGTGTTAGTTGATCGCATCCTCTAATACTAAGGGTAACCTGGATCGATGGGAAAAGACAGACGGGAGATCGACCCCCAAGAAATGTTAGAAATAAGAAAATTTTGACTCACCGACGACGAAGCTAAGTTCGTCGCCGTAATCCGCTGGTGATCATCATCCTGTTTCAGACTTTAACCTCTTCTTTG